GTAAGGGGATGTCCAGTAACAGCCTTTCTTTTCAAGACTTTAAAGAGGCCTTGTGATGCAGATTTACCCAGTGCAAAGTGTTATTTGATCTCTTGACTGCTGCTTGTATTAGCATTGATTGTGGACCAGGCAAGATGAACTCTTTGACAACTTCAGTAGAGAATACTTTCCTAGTGCTATTGTTTCCCATAAAGATTTGTCTACTGCTTAGCTGAAAATTAAGCCACAGGACTGAAGAGTGACGAATGGCCACAGCCTTGGAGATTCTACCAGTCTATATCTGACTGGTAAGCCTGATTTTTTCTATGATTTTGAATTTTGTTCCACATTTTTCTCCCACTCTATCTAGGGCCTTCTAATGTGATCCCTCCCATAGGAGTTGGCAATGAAAGCCAAGCACCATCTAGTTCTTCTGGCATCAGAATCAAGGAGCCTGATGTTTGTGTGGTCCATTGGCCCAATTGCGTTCTTGCATCTTGGATTCCCCTCCCTTCCCCACTGTTCTTTGCTCTGGGTAGGAAGAGAAAAAATAGTTGCACCTTAAATAGCTGCTCACAGCTTTTCAGATCTCACTTAACAAAGTAGGATGTAGAACATTGTCTTATTACACTGTTACCCTAATTGACCTCCGGATGTGTGGTGTGTGGTGGGAGTGGAGAGTGGCTAATTTTGCCAACCCATGGGGCTAGGTCTGAGGCACCTTCTGTCTGAAGCTTACTAGTACAGCCTGCCCAAGGCAGACAGAGGCCAAGGGCCTGCTTGTGTTGGCAAGCATTGCTGAAAAGAGGCCATCTTGACTAAAGAACTGTATCCTGACCATTCCTGATCCTGAATTACAGCCTTTTAAGTTCTCTAATCTGGGGGTCTAGCGGTGCTGTTGGGTGTGCGCTAGACTGCTAACCAAAAGGCATTTCAAACCTACCAGCTGCTGTGCAGGAGGAAGATGAGGCTAACTCCTCCCGCAGTTACTTACAGCCTCAGAGACCCTACACAGGGACGGATCAGAATAGACTCCAATGGCAGTCGGTTAAAAAAAAATTATAACTTCCCCAATAACCCTCATAATAATGAGTATTTTATAGAAGTTCTGTATGGCCATTGCAATGAACTTTGGGTCCAACAGAGCAGTATAGTATGCAGTGGAAAGGACAGTAGGTGTCCTAGCCTGTAAAGAAGGGTGCAGGGTCTGCGGCCTCTGCCTCACAGAAATGGACCTTGGGCTGCTGTTGAATTTGACTGTCCTTACCCTTGTGACGTCAGGGGTCAGATACCACCCTCACACCGCTTTTACCCACATACACGACTGCTCCCTGAGAGTTCACATAAATCCCACCCCCAGTGCTGTGAGGCCCCTCCTGTGCCGGTGCTTGAGCGCCAGTTTGGCTAGCCCAGTCTCATTTCAACTGCACTCACTGCGGCTCACCAGAGCCCTCCAGCTGGAGAGGGCAGTGCTCACGAAGGGGAGGAGGGGCGGCGCTGTAGAGGGTCCCTTTCACCTTAGAGCAAAGACTCCCAATGTCTTGGTTTTGTTTTTTAAATTTTACATCCTGGCTCCTGCTTTTGCGTCCATCCATTCTAAGCTTCTCTGAAACAGGGCCCCGTTCTTTAGCTTGATGGATTTTTAAAAAAATAGAATTTTAATACATTCGCACATGTAAGTGTTTGATCCATGAATTATATGACAAGAAAACCGTTTAAAGGTGAAGAAAGAACCACAACACACAATTACTTGACCGATTTTCTGTCACAAACGCACAGGTGTGGACAAGTGAGTTCTCTGATCATGATTTCCAAGCGGAATG